AGTTGTCTTTAGGGCTTGTACATTTTTGTAAAGAGCTTGCACATGTGGAAGTCAAGTAGGTCAGTAGTGGTTTAAGGGCATTGAGCTGGAAGCCTGTACAAGGAATAATAGGAGCACAGAGGAAGACAGCGGTGTTCCAGCTGGGGATCCAGGAGGGAGAATTTTGTGGAGATGCTTGAACTGAGTCTAAAAGGTGAAAAAGTGTTTGCTGCTTCTGCTGGGACCCTTCTGCCTCCCTGTCTGTCTGGGAGTGTGAGGTAGGCACAGCTAGGGACACATCAAGTGGCTTGGTGTGGCTAAAGTCAGTGAGGCCCATAGAGAAAAATGAACAGGAGCCAGATCACAGGGTGCCTGATAGGACCTGGGAGGTGCTTTCAACATCGCCATGGCTGCTTCGTGATCTGGACACACCAGAAGGTGTGAGACTGGAGGCAGGAAGAGCAGCCAGGCTCACCCCAACCCTCAGGAGAGCTGAGAAGGGCAGGTTGATGGGACCAGAGCTCGGGAGAGTTTCGGGAACCACTGAGATCCAGTCCCTGGTTTGATGAGAGCCCTCAGGGGAGAGGGAGGTAGCTAGCATGTCCCCCAGGCTTCTGGCTCAGACACTGGGTAAACAGTGAAGCCCTTTGTAACACGTGAGGCAACAGGTTCAGGGCAGATGGGAGGGGCAGCAGTGGTGGGGGCAGTGAGTGCTAAAGGTGTTTAGGAAGCAGTTCTGGGCCAGGTACAGTAGCTTACACCTGTATTTTTAGCATTTTGGGAGGCTGACATAGGAGCATCGCTTGAGCCCAAGAATTTGAGACCAGCCTGGGCAATATAGTGAGACCCTGTCTCTACAAAAATAAAAACAACTAGCTGGGCATATGTGGTGACGCATGCCTGTAGTCCCAGCTATGCAGGAGCATCACCTGAGCCCAGGAAGTTGAGGTTGCAGTGAGCTATGATTGCACCACTACACTCCAGCTTAGGTGACCAGAGCAAGATCGTGTTGTCTCAAAAAAAAGCAGCTCTGGATGGGAAGGGAGGCCAGTTGCCGTAAGCAGGGGAGATAGAGTAAAAGGAGACTTTGTTTTATTTAAAGGTGGGACAAACATAAGCATGTTAATAAAATTCAGAGAAGAAAAAGAGAAGAACTATCAGAGCCATGTTTGGAAGAAAGTGTGGTCTGGAGCACAGCAAGGGGACCTGTGTTCAGAGGGTGCCTCACTGCTGAGGCCACAGGAAAGAATCCGTAGTGGAGGGGAGGCTGAAGAGGGGAGGTTTCATGCTTGATAATTAAAAATTTATGAGCTAGGGATGTCACATTTACCTGTTTGAACCAAGTGATTTAGATAAAAGATATGGAGACAGGTCAGCACTTCCTTTGCTTTCCCCAGGGCTAGTTCGGCACTCGGGCTCTAGAGTGCCAAAGATGAGGACTGGGCTCCAAGCTGGGGTGACCCGAGTATTCGGCGTCAGTACTTCGTGACAGAATAAATGAGGGAAATGGGAATGAGCCAGAATTGTTCCCTCACACAGAAATACTAGCAACTGTCTGCTCTTCCCAGAAGACTTTCATTCTGAATGCTCTTGTAGCTGGGAACCCTAAAAAAAGTCTTTGAAGCAACTCAGATTTTAAAAAAGGAGACGAATTGATGGAAATCTCAGGATGGGGCCAAAATGTGACTGGAGTGTGTGCTGATGGAGGCGTGTCCTTTGCTGAGCCCGCCCAGGGCCCACAGGAAGGCCGCAGACTTCAGGGGCATCAAGCCCCAAGGTAGTGGGATTTTTCCCCACAAGTACTTGGCAGCCTCGGGGGATGGCGAGGCAGGAGAAGATAATGGGGACCCCTGGCTCCAGTCATAGGAGGGCACACCTTTGCTGTGGTGCACACATGCCTGGACATACACTGTCTTTGAAGACACCAGCTAAGAGTCTCTGCTCCATGTTTGGACAGGGCCAGACCTAAGCTGAGAAAAATGGACGAAAACAACTCAGGCCTGTATTCTGGTGCCCATGTCACCTGCCGATACTGTATCCTGGGATAGAGTCGGGTGATTTACTGTCTCCACCAAACCGTAAACTCTGGGGTGGTATACCTTTATAACTCCATGGCCCCCAGCAAAGATTTGGACTTAAAACAGGTGTCAAATAGATAACTATGGAGTGATTGTTCCCCAGTTGCAGGCTCTGCCACCTGACAGTCATACTGTCTGGGAGAGGACCCAGCTCACCCTTTTCTCTCTATCTCCCAGTCCTTTTCAACAGTGCCAACACCTCCCGGAAACTGACTGCAAATGTGCTACTTCTCCCTCATGTGTGGCCCTTGGAGCCTGGGTTAATGCTGGGCTTGGTACCTTAAGCACCCTTTCTCCCTTCCCCATTTTCAGTCTCAGAATTACACCTGTCCGAAGCGGGTGTTTTCCAATGCCCTAGATGGGAGTGTAAGTGTAAAGGAGATGGGGGCATTTGCCTGTGTCAGACATTCACTGAGGATCCTCATAGGTGCTTCTAGAAACCAAATTCTCGAAGATGACCAACCAGAAATGCCTGTCTTAGTACTGTTTACAGTTGCAAAAACGGAGACCAAATGAAATGTCTATCAGGAGGGGATTAAGTGAATTATGGTACAGTTACACCACTGAATATTCTACAGCCATCGACAATATATAGCTATATTCATTGACAAGGAAAACTCACATTTTTGAGTGAAAAAAGCAGGTTATAGAATTGCATGATATTCACATTTATATAAAACTTTATATATGGGAAGGATGTTGACTGAATTGTTAATAACTTTGATCACCTCTAGAGATGGAAGTTTTAATACCATTTTGTATTGCTTAAAATTTCTATGTATTATCATTATAATGAGAAAAATCAAATAAAGCTATTTTCATTATGGGAAAACAATCCGGTGCATTCTTTGAGGCCTGTGCCACATGTCTGTTCTCCAGGCAGCCTCCCCTGATATACCTTCTGTGCCCTGCCCCAGACTGGAGTGGAGCCCTGCATCTGTCGCCCTCTTCAGCCTCTGGTTTTTCTCTCCTGTGTGGTGTCAGCTCTGAGGCAATCTCTGTAGCCTCCTGAGCCCTGGACTCCCTGGGGTCCTGGGCTGCCCTATGTTTGCTCATCCTGGTGTCTTCCTCCTCCTGCAGAGGAGCCTCTGGGGCAACAGCTGCTTCTTGGCTCAAGATCATTGCCTTGCAAGCCCATGGGCCACTGAGGCCAGATCTGTGGATTTTTCAAGTGATCCGGAAATCTGGCCTAATTTGAGGTTTAATAGGCCTCACCGTGGTTGGTAAGATTGGTGCATAGTGCCCCAGGAAAGCCTGCAGGCCCCACAAGCCTTGCCCCAGACAGGCCTTTGCCCCTAGGGACCTTTCTGTTGTGGAAATGCTCCTCTGGCTCTGATGACCAGCCCTCACTTCGGGCAGAAAGCTTCACCCACCCAAGGCTGCTCAGAGGAAGCCAGCTGCTCGCCTTCCACAGGATGCTCTTTGTCTGGGTCCAGAAAAGAAACAGAAAAACCCTGTCCAATTTGAGACAGGACCTTTCCATAAAGAGATGTGACTGTTTCCAAATGACTGCCCCCTCGGGGCTTTAAAGCTTGCTGCTTCCTCTTCCATTATGAGCCGCAGCGGCCATAACCACAGGGGCCCAATAGGCAGGTTTCCCCTCAAGGGAGCGCCAGCAGCCTCGCCAGAAAAATAGGAGGCTCCTGCGGCCAGGACCATGTTCCAAAACAGGGGACAGACTGCCCATGACGACCCCTCCCACTCTCAGGCCTAATTATTTTATTAACTGTAGTGAGAACTGCCATTCGTTCAGCACTGTGCTGGGCACTGTGCTCCACGCCTGAGACAGCTCAAATCCAGCTCCACCACCCTGCAGGGTGCACTCATGACTGAACCAAGGACAGGCCCGGGGAGCTAAAGCAGCTGGCCCAGATCACACCCCAGAGCTAAAACAAACTCAAGCTCTTAGCACGGCCTCTCTGCCACACCCTATCTGACACAATCTAGACATCTAGACAGGGACAGATGAACGGAACCTGGAAATCAATCCCCTAAGTTGTTTAGACATGAATGTATCCACACAGTAGGCCTGCCAAAGACAAGCCCGTTTTGGTTCCCACCTGGCCTAGAGCTTCTCTGACCCATGTGAGATACTCTTTCACCTGATGGGCAGGGGGGTGCCCAGTGGAGCAGAAGCAGAGGCTGGAAGACAGAAGCAGCTTTGGTGAGTGGCTGGGGACCTTAATGGCAGACCTAAGAAACTCCACTTGCTGAGAGGCCATGGGCAGCACTCTGGGGACAGCTAGCAGATGAGGCACAGCCACCTCCCGTCCAGACCTCGAGGCCCAGATCAGGAACTGTGTCCCCACTTCTTGGTCTCTCAGGTCTCTTCACAATAAGCCCCTATTATTGAGGGACCTGAGTGTGTCTTTGGTTCTTGAACCCTAGTACTCGGCACACCAGAGGGGCTGCTTGGTTGTGGCTGCCACGGCTCTGATCACCACATGCAGCTGGCAAGCTGTGCCATCGAAGTGCTGGGGTGGCCTCTGCCAGCTCTCCCTGGGCCAGACCTGGGTCATGTTGTCTGAAGCAGCAGAGCTGCCGCTGTCATATCTGGGCAGGAGACAGGAGGCTCCTGGGAGTGGCATTGCTGCCTGGAATCCTGGGTCTGGAGCCTGCCTGCCCTGGACCAAGCTTTGCTCGAAGGACTTGGGCAGGACATGCTTGTCAGAGGTGCTGTCTAACACGGGCGTTCCCAGCCCCACCCCTCCCTCGCGCCTCGCTTCCGCCAGATGACAGAAATGAGGAGTTTTGACTAACTCAGTCACTCACAATGCTTTTTAGCAGCACCCTTTTTAAAAGACGTGTTAACACCAAAATCTAACATTCAAACATAAAAGTGATGTTTTTAAATGTTATATTATTTCAATTTATAAAATGTACTATTAACAAGGTAATCAGTAGGAACTCTGAAGCTGTTTTGCTGAACACCATAGTTGCTGATTTACACCAACCTCTGCTTCCAATTTATTTCCTTACTCTTTGGTTGCACAATATAGAGTAAATCAGAAACATCCTTATCGGAGAGTTGAAATGGTTAATTTTTTTTAAAACTAACCTTGCAGTCTCAGGATGGAAGAAAAATAGTAGAATCTGTTTCTGTTGTCGATGAATCAGCATCCATCAGGATGAACCATGTCACTGCTAAACTCCTGCCGTTTTTTTGCCTATAAAAACAGCAAATTCACATAATTCAGTCACCAGTAATAGCTAACATCTCTCTACTGTGTGCTGGGCCCTCTGCCAAACACTTTGGAAGCTGCTGTCATTTAAGGCACACCACTCTCTGTTGTTAGAGGACCCTGAGCCTCACGGGGGTTATCCAAGGTTATACCAGTGACCAGAGCTGGGCCAGGGTGGGGCAGGTAAGGTCCACCATGGCTCAGATGGCTCCCAGTGGCTGGGCCCCTCCCGGCCAGTCCACCCCTCCACTGCCGCCCCCTGTGCGGGCTCAGAGAAGAATCCTGCCTCTGTGCCCAGCAGCGCCCACAGGCTCGTGGCCCAGGGGCTGTTTGTTTTCTTAACGGGGTTAACCAAACCTCCTGAACAGCAGAAGCCTTGCCGGTGAAAAGGGGCTTTGTGTGACTGCAGCGGAAGCCAGGGCCTGAGCTAAGGCCGGGGCTGTGGGCCAGCCTACCCATGTGGAGGAATGGGGTGCGTCGGGGGGGACAACTTCACCCCCCAGCCCTTTCTGCCCTCTGCTGAGCCCTTGCTCCTGTTTCCAAGTGGCAAACTGCAGGCTCCATACCTGCCGAGAGGAGCCAGTGGGGCCCGGTCCCTGGTGGGGCTGCTGCGGGAATCAGGAGACAGGTGCTTGCTTATTGTGGTTTCCAATCAGGAGCTTGTTAACGATGCCTGCTTCAGGCTCCACCCCAGCCCAGCAATTAGAAAATCCTGGCTCATGGCCGGGCGCAGTGGCTCACACCTGTAATCCTAGCACTTTGGGAGGCCAAGGTGGGTGTATCACCTGAGGTCAGGAGTTCAAGAAAATCCTGGGTCAGGGCACTCAGATCTGAGATTTCACAGCCCTACAGTTGGTGGTGAAGATTGCTGAAGCCTGAGAATTACTGTAATCTAATAGGGAAATACAGTCCATGTGCTAGATCACAGTGGAGAAAAGACAAAGGTTCGCGTGGTAAAACAGCTCATTCTAAAAACAGAAGTTACTTTGAGGTCTGCACATGCGTCATGTAGTCTGGAACTTGGTATTCATATGCTGAGCTGGCCAGCACTGAAAGTGTACCGAAAGCAAACTTCTTTTGATTGTAATAACCGCTATTGCATTTACATCATGTGTTCCTCTTTATAGGAAAATATTTGGCCCAGCACGGTGGCACACACCTATAATCTCAGCACTTTGGGAGGTCGAGGCAGGAGGATCAGTTGAGCCCAGGAGCTGGAGACCAGCTTGGGTAGCATAGTGAGACCCTGTCTCTACAAAACAAAACGAAACAAAAATTAGCCAGGCTTGACAATGAGCACCTGTAGTCCCAGCTACTTGGGAGGCTGAGCCCTTGAGCTTGGCAAGTCGAGGCTGCAGTGAGCCATGATTGTGCCACTACACTCCAACCTTGGCAAAAGAGTAAGACCCTGTGTCAGTAAATTAATACATAATTATTTTTTTAATTGGAAAATATTCTCATACCTTGTTTACCTCCCCAAAGACATCTTAAATGCCCCTAAGTCAAGGATCTTGTTTTTCTTCATTGGGACCTGCACCCTTGTGCCCTGGAACACTGTGCTACTAGGAGCTGCAGGTCTACCAGATGTTTGACAAGTCAGCTGCATGGAATCTCTTCATGCAAAAGCATTGAGTAGCAGCTTGACTGTGGGCTTGTCCTGGATGACTGGTGATGAAAATTCACTGATCTGAGGCCTCCTGGAACACCTGAAAATTAAGTAAATGGATAAAGTGGACAACGATCTGCCAAGAAAGAAGCGAGAGGAGAGGTGTGTTTGACTCTGGAGGTGGAGGAAGATTCTTGTTGCCCCTTTGCAGGCAGCCTTTAACCCTTCAGCAGCCCCTGCTCCTTCCCCTCCCGAGTTTTGTCTCAACATACCCCCACTGCCCATTCATTCATATACTCTCCATCACAAATACTCTTTATGTAGTCTTTCAACCCAAATGTTTCTGAGACACACAAGTAACAATAATTGCAGATTGTAAGAAGTGCATAGAAGGGGTCATATGAGAAAGAAGGAAGCCTCAGCTGGTTGCAGTGGCTCACGCCTATTATCCCAGCACTTTGGGAGGCCAAGGTGGGTGGTTGGCTTGAGCCCAGGAGACCAGCTTGAACCAACATGGCCAAACTCCATTGCTACAAAAATTAGCCAGGTGTGGTGGTGCACACCTGTAGTCCCAGTTACTCAGGAGGCTGAGGTGGGAAAACTACCTAAGCTGTAGTGAGCTCCATGATTGTATCACTGCCCTCCAGCCTGGGCGACTCAAGTGAGGCTCTGTCTCCAAAAAAAAAAAGCCTCTTTGAGTTGAGTTTTAGGCTAAGAATTGGAGGATGAGCCCAGTCCTTGAAGAGTCAAGGAAGACTGTCCCCAGGTGGAACAAACAGCCTAATGTGAAGGCCCTGAGGAAGGGAAGAGCTTGTCAGGTTCCAAGAGCCTGGTGAGTGCTGAGGAGAGGAGAGGAAATGAGGCAGAAGATGGAGGCTGGGCTGGATTACTTACAGCTCTATAGATTGTGTAGAGAGGGTGGGTTTTAGTCTAAGAGCAATGGGAAACATTGGAAGGTTTTAAGCAGATCCCTTGAGAACAGTTTGTGCTGCAGGGGTAGAGAATGGACATTCTATTGGGGATGAAGGCAGGGAAAAAGGAAGACCCTGCCTTCATGGGGACCAAGAAGTCTGAGTATCCCAGTGGACGCCTCCCTGGACCGTGGGAGTTGGGGAGGCCCTGTAGGCCAGGGGGAGCTGGGTCCTTGAATGATGGGGCCCTAGGGAGGAAATGAAAACACAGCACTTCTCCTCACTCTGGGCCGCTTTCCTTCTAGGGGACCCCTCTAGGATCTGGGAAGTTTTAGCTTCCTGATTCTGGGGTCCTTGTGTGATGCCATTTGGAAAAAAGAAAGTGTGGGACATGGTATTGGTGAGACCTGTTTGCCCCATTTCGAGGTCATCTCAGCCCCTCTCTGGAGGCGGGCTGGAGATGGAGGTTTTCTGATCCAGCTCAGAGGCATCTCTGCAGGAGCAGGGGAGGAGTGAGTCCCCTCAACCCCAGCCCCGAAGACAGGCTCTCTGCTTCCTCCTGCACACCCATGACCTCCCACTAGGTATGAGCTTTGGAAGGCAGGGCCTCCCCTCTCCCCATGTCACGAGGCCTTTGTAGGGGAAATCAGTGGAGTGAAGGCCCTGCCATGGTGCTGCTGAATGGTAGCAGCTCCTGGACAGCTGGAGGGGTGTAGGGCTGAGAGGTGGGAGCAGAGGCCCTTTCCAGCACATGGCCTGAGAGAATTCTGGATTAAAATTCTGCCACATATCTAGGAAGCAGCTGCCCAGAGGGGTGGACAAGGGCAACTTGTGCCACCCCCTAAAGTCCCTCTTCCCATCCGCTGCCCTGTGCCCACTTGTCCTAGTCATCCAGGACAAGCCCACAGTCAAGCTGCTACTCAATGCTTTTGCTAAGGACCTAACATGTCTCACTTTTTTTTTTTTTTTTTGAGACAGAGTCTTGCTCTGTTGCCCAGTCTGGAGTGCAATGGCACGATCTTGGCTCATTACAACCTCTGCCTCCCGGGTTCAAGCCATTCTCCTGCCTCAGCCTCCAGAGTAGCTGGGATTACAGGCACGTGCCACCATACCCGGCTGATTTTTAGTAGAGACGGGGTTTCACTATGTTAGCCAGGCTAGTCTTGAACCCCTGGCCTCAGGTGATCCACCCGCCTCAGCCTCCCAAAGTGCTGCAATTACAGGTGTGAGCCACTGCTCCTGGCCAAATCGTCTAACTGTATACACTCTCGTCAAGGAGCCACATTATGCCTATTTTGCAGATGAGCAAAGGTCTACAGGGTTCCTGAAATCCAGGCTGTCTGATCCCCAAATCAGAGCCTAAGTCCCTAAACTGCGTCTTCCCCACAAACAGCCTGGAGCCGCTTAGGTTTAGAAGATAGAAGTGGATGGATGGATGAAAACAATGACTGAACGGAGGGGCCTGTGGATGCTGGGGAAGGGGACATCATACCTGGATTGGGTCCACGCCCTGCTCAGGTGTGGCCTCAGCCGGGGACTCCAGGTCGACAATCCCAGGGACTAGGCTGAAAGGAGGGAAAGGCTGGGGAAGGGACTGAGGAACGCAAGGCAGGTAGGTCCCTGGTTGGCCCGAGGAGCCGCACTGAGGCCCGAGCCCGGCCTCCGTCTACGCCTGGAGCCACAGGCCGTTCTTAGTCCTTAGTAGACACTTAAGATGGGTGACATTTTCGCTCACCGGTTCCTGGCATCAGTGAGCGCTCAGTAAATGTTTGACAAATGGGTGACTCCACTGCCCCGCGCTGCGTCCTGGTCCCGCCTAATCTTCTGGGCCCAGGACCCGCCGCGTGAGGGAACGCCCGGGGCGGCGTCGCCTGGAGGCGGGGCCTGGGTGGGGCCTGCGGGCTTAGGGGGCGGGGCGGGGCCGGCCGCGCAGGGGTCGTCTGTCTGCTCCGGGAGAGTTAGGGCTCGGATCCGAGCGCACGGAGCGGCCGGGGCCGGGGCGCGGATGCTGGAAGTTCACATCCCGTCGGTGGGGCCCGAGGCCGAGGGGCCCAGGCAGAGCCCGGAGAAAGGCCACATGGTGAGCGCGGCCCCTGGATGGGGAGGGACGCTGGGACCTGCTGAGTTTCCCCGCGCTGCGCTCAGTGGGCACCCGGAGCCCGGGCCGGGGTGAACGGGCGCTGCGGGCCGGACCGTCGGGGGACACCTTGTCGAGGGTTTGGGGGTCGCTTGGATTTGCCACCCTCGCAGACTGTGGTTCGGGCTCTTGAGAGACCACAGGGCGCCGAGGGGTGGGTCCGCCAGCCGGTTCTCCCAGGTGTGCAGGAGCGGAGCGTCCCGGGGAGCCGCGGCGCCGCAAGGCCGCTTTGTGCCTTTGAGCGCGGGGCGGGTGGGCGCGTCGCTGGGCGCGGGTCCTGCTTCGTCCTCCCGCGGGGTCTCACGCGCACCCCCACTGCCCGCCCGCGCCGCCAGGTGTTCCGAGTCGAGGTGTTGTGCAGCGGACGCAGACACACGGTGCCGAGGCGCTACAGCGAGTTCCACGCGCTGCACAAGCGGGTGAGGCGGCGCCGACCCCCCACCGACCCCAGCCCAGCCTCCGTCCAGCCCCTGCCCAGGCCCTGTGAGGCGGGCGGGCGAGCTCCAGCCCCAGGCTCCGCAACCCCCATGACTGCCCTTATCTGAGGAGGGGAGGGTGCAGGGGGGCACATCCTGGTTCGCACCGACCATGCCCCTTTATGGCCGGTCACCCCGGGAGGCCCAGCGCCCACCCTCCCGGGCATCTGTGGGTGGTTTGGGGCCTCCCTCGCCATCGGTCCGTCCACCACTCATCAGGGTCTGTCCCAGAGTAGAGCCTGAAGGCGGGGGCACGGGGCGTGGGAGGGCTTCTGGCTTGGGCGAAGAGGGCGTGAGGACTCAGTCGGGATGCTGTGATCGCACGCGGTAAATCCCCAGTAGATCAAGAAGCTGTACAGAGTGCCCGACTTCCCCTCGAAACGCCTGCCCAACTGGAGGACCAGAGGGTTGGAACAGCGCCGGCAGGGCTTGGAGGCCTACATCCAGGTATGCAAGGGCATGATTGGTCGCCGCAGCCTGCTGTGCCAGGGATGTGGCCCAGACAAAGAGGTGTGGGGCCATGGCAGGGAGGGAACCCACAACTTGGGGATGTTATTCAGCACCTCAAGCGTGCATTTTCTGAAAAGTAATATAGGTCCAAATATCCCTCTCTGGAGTATTGAAAGGACTGAATGAGGTAACAGACACAGGTAGTCCGAGCTCCATGAAAGGCAGGTCCTGTCCCCTCCAGGATGAGGTCCTGTGCTGCCCTCCTGATGGGATGTACTGTGAGTGTCTTCCCCCAACAGCAAAGCTATGCCAGTTCGCTGGGTACAACCTGTGGACACAGGGCCCAGTACTCACAAGGGCCCTGAGCTTGGTTTAATGCTCTGCTGTCATTGTCTTGAAATTCTTTTTTTGGAACAAAAAGTCCTGCATTTTCAGCGACATTGGGCTATGCAAATTAGTAGCTGGGTCTGATTGCAGGTCTCTGTCCTCTCCAGGGCATCCTGTATCTAAACCAGGAGGTACCCAAGGAGTTACTGGAATTCCTGAGACTTCGGCACTTCCCCACAGACCCGAAGGCTAGCAGCTGTGGGTAAGGGGGCGCTGGGGGTGGGGGCCAGGGGCTGTCAGCAGAGAGCAGGTAAGGAAAGGTGTTGGAGGGCCAGCCCTTTCTTCTCACACCTGCCAGGCCCCAGCCTGACATGACCGCCCTCACCAGCTTTCTCGACCTGGGTAGAGGAGCTTTTTTGGACAGCCTTGGTTACCCCAGCCACCTCCGGAACTGGGCTTGTTACAAATAGAAGCAGTGGTCCCCTGGGAGGTACAGTTCTGGGCTCTGGTGTCCCCACCCCTTCCTCACGTTCCCCCGGGCATCCCCAGGCAGCTTACAGTGTTTCTCTTCTGTTCAGCACCCTGGGGGAGGTCCTGCCTGGTGACAGCAGGCAATTCAAGGCCCTGACCAGTGCCTGGCCCCTGCCGCCCCCTAGTGGCCATATGCTAGGAGGCCGGCCTGCTGCCTGGGCCTGTCCGGCCTGGGCCCTGTGGTCTGCCCTCCCCTTGGTGCCTCCTGAGCCCATTTCCCACTCACCTTTTCCTGGTGATCTCAACCCCATCTCCACCCCTCTGTGGGATTCTGCCCTGCCTCCCGCACCGATGGTTCATGACCCTCTTTCCTCCCAGCTCCCAGCAGCACCAGCGGCCTGTCCTGGGGTTCCATGTGGATCCCTATGTGTGCACCCCCTCCCCAGGTGAGGAGCTGCCTAGATCCAGGGCTACAGGAGGTGGGCTTGGTGTTGTTCTACTCCCGGGATCCCCAAACAGCATGTCCTTCCTGCTGCCCTCCTCTGGGGCATCACCTCCCACTCCCGTTTCCCCTGGAGCTGTACAGACACAAGGAAAACAAGTTTGGCTTCCTTGGTCTCCATTTCCTTCTTTACCAAGCTGATGTGAACAGAATGCAACCTGGGAATGCCAGGGCTTCATTTGGGATGGACAGCTGCTGTCTGCTGCCTTGGCAGGGGCTCCTACTTCCGAGGGCAGTTGCGGGGGGGCGGGGGGGGGAGATGCTGAGCCCATGAACAGGACCTCAAGGAGCTGCAGGCCTGAGGCCAGACCTGTTTAATTCTATCCCACAGAGCCGCTGCCCAACGTGGTGGTGGATGGTGTGCTCCAGGGCCTCTCCGGCTTCAGCATCAGCCCAGTTAAAGCCCAGCCAAATGATGCCTGTCACCCTGCTCCTCTGCCACCTACGTCCTGATCAGTCCAGAGGCCTCTGGCCACCTCCTAGGACAGTCATGTGCCTCCATCCTATCAAGTCCATATAGGGCTAGGTCCTCCCTTAGTCTGGACCCAGGACTTAACTACCCAGTGCCCAGCTGTGCCACATCCCACTCAAGGCTCAGAACTTGACTTGCACTGGTGGCTGGAGGTGGAATTTGCACGTTCTTAGAGCGCAGGAGCCAAGGCAGGGTCAAGAAGATAAGCAATAAAGGAAGAAGTCAGCTGTGCACGGAGGCCCACGCCTGTAATCCCAACACTTTGGGAGGCCAAGGCAGGAGGATTGCTTGAGCTTGGGAGTTTGAGACCAGCCTGTGCAACATAGTGAGACCTGTCTCTACAAAGAAAAAAAAAGTCAATTTAGAGGTAGGCTATGAAAAGGTACAGGTATATTTCTTCACATAGACCGGAGGGTGGTGGCGAGGGGGGCAAATGTGGAGGCCTAGTAGCCGGTGAAGTTTAGAAGCAAGGGGCAAAAGCTCCTGCCTGACTTTTCCTGGGTAGCTCCTGGGTCCAAGTTTCAGGCAGGATCCCAGGGAAGGGGCAGGCACCCACTGCCGCAGGAGAATGGCAGGCCTGTTGAGGGGTAGGCTTGGGGGAAGTACCGCAGACTCAAGAACCAGGCCTACACGTTACAAAAAAAACCCCCACATTTTGTTTTTTAATTGGTCAGTGTTGGCAGGAGTTTGTTACAAAACTGGGTCCATGGGCCTGTGGAATGTGAGGGGAGTGGGTCCACCAGATGCCAGCACCGGGGCCAGTGCAGCTCAGAGCCCTGTGGCGGACTAGCTTCACCCCCTGGAGGGCAACAGGGCCTGCAGAGACGGTCACGAAAAGGAAGAGGTCCCTGGGCCCTACTCCTTGGCGATGGCAAAGGGCTTCTCCACCTCGATCTTGCCACAGTCTGCGATGATCACATCCTTCAGGGGTTTGTCCCGGCTGTCTGTCTTGGTGCTCTCCACCTTCCGCACCACCTCCTGGAAAGAAAAGGTAGAAGCAGGAGGGCACAGTGGGTCAGGAGGTCCGCTGCTCGGGAGAAGGGCCCCAGCGTACGGCTCAGGAGGGCTGAGACCCATAAGTGATCAACAGCACACAAAACTGGAGGCACCAAAATTCTAACAGACTCCTAGCCAGGGCGCTAGGCCAGGGCATGGAGAACACAGATTTGACAAGGGCATGCAGGAGTTTTGTTCCTTTGAAGTAAGAGGCAGGTTGGGCCAAGGGCGAGGAATAGGGTGAGCAGGGAAGGTGGCTTCTCAGGGACATCGTGTTCAGCTGCACTCTGGACGCCTCAGCGGTGGGACCAGCACATCACTAAGTGTATGAGGGGAGAGGCTCTGGCAGCTATGCAGCCTTAACAAGGCTTCCTGGCGGGGCTCTGCGGGGCTGGAAGATTGAGAACCTTGGGCCCATGGAGCTGCAGGTTTATTCAGGACAGGAGCCCTGGGCCACACCTGTGGGTTGGGTCCTTTTGGGAGAGGGATGGACGCATGGAGCTCCTGCCCTGGGGCCTGTGTTGAATCCCTATGAGGACTGCCCAGGTATAGCCCTTGCTTCCAGAACTTACCATGCCCTCTAGAACTTTGCCGAACACCACATGCTTGCCGTCTAGCCAGGCTGTCTTGACTGTAGTGATGAAGAACTGGGAGCCGTTGGTGTCTTTGCCTGCGTTGGCCATGCTCACCCAGCCAGGCCCATAGTGTTTCAGCTTGAAGTTCTCATCAGGGAAGCGCTCACCATAGATGCTCTTTCCTGGGAAAAAAGACAGAGTAGGTCGGGGAAGCTGGATTGGGCCAAACCAAGCAGACATTCGGGGCAAGGACTGAGGGGCTCAAGCTGTCCTCTGTGCCAGGCTGGGGACCTTCTATCCTCAGAGCCAAGCCATGCTGACTGAGACCAAGTGGGGCATCAGGCCAGGCTGATGTGGTGAACAGCTCGTAAAAGGATTACTTTGAGAGGATAGTTTTGTGGCTTTTAAATAAGGCACATGTTATCAGCTCCCCTCAGCTAGGGTTCGGGCCTGCCACAGAGGGACTTTGGTGGAGGGAGGTGCTGTGCAGGATGCAGGGCAGTCAATGGGGTCTGAACTCTCCAGAAGAGGAGGACTGCTGTGGCTGGCCAGCCTGTTTTCCTGTGAGTACAAAAGACACAGGCATAGCTGCAGAGGAAAAAGCAGCCAGAGATGGGTGGGGAGAGGCTGCTCCTTGGGTTCTGGAGAGTCAACATCTCTTAATAAGGAATGAACAGGAATAAAAGGCAGCTGTGAGTGTGTGTGTGATGCATCTATCCACGTGGGGCTTGGGGCTAGGACAAGGGCATCCAGGGGTGATCACTACACCGTTTCGGAGATTCTAGTTCCAAAGCTGCTTCCGGAAGAAACACTGAAACCCTTCTTTTTCTCCGTCACCCCTTGGAGACAGACACTGTGCATTAAGCCCAAGAAACCCAGCAAAAAACGAGTCATTTTCATTTGTTTTATCTAACACCTTTCAAATGTATTTGCGTGCAAAACCCCTTTTCCCTTCTCAGTGCCCCTACCTTCATTCTGTGGTTTCACCAAATGGAACTGGGCTGGGAAATGGTCCTAGACCGATGCCAACCAGGAAGATGGTTCTGATTGGGCCGCAGGTAGGAAGACTGAAAACCAAGAATGACCAGACTCTGGCTGGTGGGGATGGGATGCTTCTGCCTTTGTTCCACCTCTCACCCCCACGCTGGGAGACTGGACTCTGCCACATGTGCAGTGAGTCCTGGCTGGGGTGCTGGCTAAAAGCCTCCCCCATTTGAGAATCCTCTGAGTAAATCTCAACCAACTATGGGATTTTGATTATAGTTGTTATCCAGAAAACCCCAAATCTCCACCCTCAGCTCCAGTCACTCTCCCAAGATATAGGAGTTCCAAACCCAAATGGACACTTCTCTTCAAACTCAACATACCTCGTCATCTTTTGACCCCTGTTCCTCTGCATGTGGCTCAGCTTGTCCCTACCTATCCCCCATGTACTCACTCTTTCTTTCCACTCCCACCACCCTGGCTACAGTAGGTGAGTGCTTAGGGCACTAATAGTGTGTGCCAGAGACTGTTCCAAGCATCTTACGTACTTAACAATCCACCCCATGAGGAGGAGCTAACTCGACTTCAAAGATGAAGAACCTGAGGCCAGAGAATAAAAGGAGCCCCAGTGAAGCAGCGGCAGAGCTAAAGTTCAGAACAAGGTCGTCTGCTCTCATCTCTGCTCTCAGCCACCTAGGGATCAGGCCCAAATCTCCCCGCCCAGGGTCAGCTATACCAGTGCCCCCAGCAGCCTGCCTGCCCTGGTCTCCATATCCTGGATCTGCCACCACGAGACTCCCCTGGCACCCCAAGCAAGGGCTTGTCCTCTTACTCAGCTCTGTAGCCCTGACTCCTTGCAAGCCGAAGCCCAGGCTGCAGGCCATGACCCACCTCTCTGCACTCTGGGTACAGATGCTCTCGCCTCACCTTTGGCCAAGCTCCTTCCACAGAACAGCACTGGGCTCCTGCCCTAACCCTGCCTCTTCTTTGCCCAAATTCTCCTCATCCAGGACCCCACTGAAATCTTTCCTCACATCCACAAGCCCATGCTCATTCCCCGGGCCTGTGGGGATTCCTCTGCTTGTCAGCACTTCAACAGTGGCTTACTTACTAAGCACTCGGAGTATGCCAGGTACATCACACTCCACAGCTAGTCCAATCCTCACGGCCTCACAACTCTCCAGTCTCACTGGACAGAAGAGGAAACTGGAGCTCCAAGGACTCACTTGTCTGAGGTCACAAAGCAAGAAGGTGGCAGACGGTGGACTGAGCCCAGCTGTGTCTGACCCACAAATACAGTTCTTTGGTCTCCTTTGTGAGCCTGAGTCCTAAACACTGTATCATGGCCCACTTGTACATTTTCAGTTGCTGGAAGTAAAAGGGAGCCACTGCCCCATGGGTCTTTAAATCTACAACCCCCACCACAGAGCCCCACAGGCACTCAGAGGAGCGAGCTGTGCTCTAAGGGAGCAGCCGGCTGCACCTGAGCTCAGTGAGACTCACGCAGGGGTCCAGGGGGTCTTTCTGTCCTCTGTGTGCAAGTTAATGCAGAGGTGAGAGTCGGCCCTAGCAGAATGGTCTCTGGTGAAAGACTATCAAGCATTGGGCCAGGCACAGTGGCTCGTGCCTCTAATTCTAGCACTTTGGGAGGCCAAGGCGGGCGGATTACCTGAGGTCAGGGGTTCAAGACCAAGCTGCCAACATGGTGAAACCCTGTCTCTACTAAAAATGCAAAAACTAGCCTGGCATGGTGGTGGGTGCCTGTAGTCCTACTTGGGAGGATGAGGTGGGAGAATCGCTTAAACCCTAGGGGCAGATGTTGTAGTGAGCCAAGGTCGCACCACTGCACTCCAGCCTGGGTGACAGAGCAAGACTGAAAAAGGAAGGGAGGGAGGGAGGGAGGGAGGAAGACTGTCAAGGAAAGCAGCTGCTCCCACTTTTTTCTTTTTGAGAGAGTCGCGCTCTGTCGCCCAGGCTGGAGTGCAATGGTGTGATCTCGGCTCACTGCAACCTCTGCCTCCTAGGTTCAAGTAATTCTGCCTCCGCCTCCAGAGTAACTGGGATTACAGGCACCCGCCACCACACCCGGCTAATTTTTTGTATTTTTAGGTGCCTGCCACCACACCCAGCTAATTTTTTGTATATGTAGTAGAAACAGGGTTTCAACATGTTGACCAGGCTATTCTTGAACTGAAGGCCTCAAGTGATGCATCCACCTTGGCCTCCCAAAGTGCTGGGATTACAGGCATTAGTCACCGTGCCTGGCCCTCCCACTCTTGCTGGGGCTTCCAGGATAGCCTGCACAGGCTTTGCACGGCTGATCTAGAATTATGTACCCACATGTCTTTGTTTTGCTTCCACATGCCTCTCTCTCCAGTCCCCATTCCAAAGAGATATCGGGAAGGGTCACCAGGCTATAGGCCTGGATCAGCAGGTTGGCCACCTGGGAGAGAGTCTCTTAGGTCTTCCATCAGGTCCACCCCGTATTCTCTCTCCTTTGTACTAGGTTCTCTCTACAAAGAAGGGTGCTGCTGGTCTTAAGGTAGGTAGTAAGTAGTCCTACCTCTAGAGCTCGGGAAGAACGAGTCTTGTCTCCTCAGCAGAGCCTGGCCCTCCCCCCATGGAGGCTACATTGACATACTCCTTGGCCCAGAGGACCTGTGGTTACCTCCTGTGCCATCTCCCCTGGTGAAGTCTCCGCCCTGGATCATGAAGTCCTTGATTACACGATGGAATTTGCTATTTTTGTAGCCAAATCCTTTCTAGAAAAAGGGAAGAGAAGGTAAGGAGGTGGTGTGGGGTGGCAGGAAGACTGAAACAGGCCCTGCAGGAACAAGTCCACAACTCCTGCTTGCAGGACACCGCAGCTGACCACTTTCACTGTTGAATGTGCTGCTGAGTGAGCGAGCAGCCATCGCGGGACATGCATGGTGTGTACAGATGTGGAAATTCCTCTGCCTCCATACAATTCCCAGACTCTATACACCACACAGTGCCTTTCCCCTCTTATTTCTTCCAGTTATAAGAACAGATACAAGAAAACTGAGAAGAACGGTCACCTTCTGGCTCAGTGGAAAGTTAATATAAACTGAAATAGAGTACTGTTGTTTCCTCAAAATCCACTGCCATCGCTCTAGGTGAAGTCTCCCCAGGAAGCTTTGGACCCCTTACTCTTTTTTTTTTTGAGACAGAGTTTTGCTCTTGTCACTCAGGCAGGAGTGCAATGGCACCATCTCCTCTCACTGCAACCTCCGCCTCTTGGGTTTAAGCGATTCTCCACCTCAGCCTCCCGAGTAGCTGGGATTATAGGCACGCACCACCATGCCCACCTAGTTTTTGTATTTTTGGTAGAGATGGGGTTTCACCATGTTGGCCAGGCTGGTCTTGAACTCCTGAACTCAGATGATCTACCCACACCAAAGTGCTAGGATTACAGGCATAAGCCACCACGCCCAGCCTTTTTTTTGTTTTTTGAGACCGAGTCTCACTCTGTCACCCAGACTGGAGTGCAATGGTGTGTTCTCAGCTCACTGTAAGCACTGCCTCCCAGGTTCAAGTGATTCTCCTGCCTCAGCTCCCAAATAGCTGGGACTACAGGCACACACCACCACACCTGGCTAATTTTTGTATTTTTAGTAGAGACTGGGTTTCACTATGTTGGCCAGGCTGGTCTTGCACACCTGACCTCGTGATCTGCCAGCCTCAGCCTCCCAAAGTGCTGGGATTACAGGCATGAGCCACCGCACCCGGCCTATTATTTTATTTATCTATTTTTTTGAGATGAAGTTTCCCTCATTTTGCCCAGGCTGGAGTGCAACGGCGCAATTCAAGCAAAAATTGCTTGAATCCCGCCTCCTGGGTTTAAGCAATTCTCCTGCCTCAGCCTCCCAAGTAGCTGGGATTACAGGTGTCTGCCACCATGCCTGGCTAATTTTTGTATTTTTAGTAGAGAGGGGATTTCATCATGTTGGCCAGGCTGGTCTCGAATTCCTGACCTCAGGTGATCTACCCACCTCAGCCTCTCAAAGTGCTGGGATTGCAGACGTGAGCTACTGCACGCAGCCTTTAATTTTTTAGTGAGTGGGTCCACTCTGTTGCTCAGGCTGGAGTGCGGTGGCATGATCTCAGCTCACTGCAACCTCCACCCCGCTAGTTAAAGCAATTCTTTCTTTTTATTTTTTTTTTTGAGACAGAGTTTCGCTCTTGTTACCCAGGCTGGAGTGCAATGGCGCCATCTCGGCTCACCGCAACCTCCGCCTCCTGGGTTCAGGCAATTCTCCTGCCTCAGCCTCCTGAGTAGCTGGGATTACAGGCACGCGCCACCATGCCCAGCTAATTTTTTGTATTTTTAGTAGAGACGGGGTTTCACCATGTTGATCAGGATGGTCTCAATCTCTTGATCCACCCAGCTTGGCCTCCCAAAGTGCTGGGATTACAGGCTTGAGTCACCACGTCCGGCCCAGTTAAAGCAATTCTTTTGCCTCAGCCTCCTGAGTAGCAGGAATTACAGGTGTGTACCGCCATGCCCAGCGAATTTTTATATTTTTAGTAAGGATGGGGTTTTACTAACGTGGCTTCCCAAAGTACCAAAGTGCTGGGATTACAGGCATAACCATGCCCAGGTTAAATATATTTTAGAAAAGGGCTCACTCTAGCCCAGGCTGGAGTACAGTTGCATGATCATGGCTCACTGCAACCTCCATTTCACTTCA